TTTCCCCCTTCCTGTCACCGTCCCGTTCCTGCGGGGTACGTCGACCAGGCAGTGTAGTGGGGATCGGACGAGCTCCAGGCAGGTGCTCCCTACCTGGCCCCCCCCACGTTGTGGGGAGTCTCTGAGTTGCCTCCGCTGCTTCGCTCTGGCCGAGGCTCTGGGCGGAGGTGCTGGTTGGAGCTGTGGGGTCTTCCAGAGTCTCGTGGGTTTTCATGGGCTGGGTAGGTGCTGTGGCCCCCCCTGCGCGTTTGGCGCCGCTCCCGGGGCTCGTGTTGAGCACCGAGGGGGGGTCCAGCGCTGACCCAAGAAATCCACCCAGGCCCCCGAAAGAGCAAAACTCTCGCCTACCCTCCCCCCCGTCCCCTCCAGTGCAGTGCTGGCGCTTTGCCTTCCAGAGCCGTCGCAGCAAGGTCGCTTCCGAACCCTCTCTGGGTCGTGGTTCCTTGCGAAAAGGAAGCGCCGTCCGACGCCTCCGCCGCCAGCTCAAAGGGAGCACACCTACCTACCTACCTCCTTCCTCCTTCCTCCTCCCTCCTCCCTCCTCCCTCCTCCCTCCTGCATCCTGCATCCTGTCTCCTCCCTCCTCCCTCCCCCCTCCTCACTCCTCCTCCTCCTCCTCCTCCTCCTCCTCCTCCTCCTCCTCCACTTCCTCTTCCTCTTTCTCTTCCTCTTCATCTCTTCATGTTAATATTCCTCCTCCTCCTCCTCATCCTCTTCCTACTGTTCTTACTCCTCCAGCCCCTCCCCTTCATCCTCGGATTAATTTCTTGTGGAATTCGAGTCAACTCAACTCGTTCACCCGGCACCATCAGCAACGATGTCATCATCAATGACTAGACGTCGTCGACAGTATGGTCGTCATCATCTTGCTAGGCGTCGTCGCGGTCATCACCGGCACCAGCATCACCACCACCACCACCACCATCATCATCATCAGCATCAGCAGCAGCATCGTCGTCGTCATCATCATGATCATCATCAGCAACAGCAGCGTCAGCATAATCACCAGCAGCATAATCGTTATCATCAGTGTCATCATCAACAGCATCATCACGATCAGCAGTAGCATCATCAGCTTTACCACCACCATATTCTTCATCAACATCAACATCGTCAGCATCGTGATCGTCATCGCCATCATCAGCATTGTTATCATCATCGTCATAATCATCATCATTGCACTCACCATCAGCATAATCGTCATCATCATCAGCAGCAGCATCATCATCGTCGTCATAAGAATGGTGAGTGTCGTCGCAATCATCAACATCAGCATCGTCATCAGCAAAACCACCGTTATCTTCTTTATCAAGATCGCCATCGTCATCATCAGCAGCATCACCATCATCCTAATCATCATGGCCACCGTCAGCATAGTCGTTGTCGTCGTCGCCCTCATCACCATCACTCATCATCATCATCATCATCATCATCATCATCATCATCAGCATCAGCATCAGCATCAGCAATAGCAGCAGCAGCACCATCGTCGCTGCCGCTGACAACATTGTCTTGCTACTCTCTCATCAAAAATCATCATCAGCAGCAGCACCACAAGCATGGCCATCACCATCGACTTCAACATCGTTATCGTCAACACCATCATCACCATGACCATCACCAGTCGTCATTACAGTCATCATCCTCATCATCATCGTCGTCGTCACCATCATCATCATCATCATCATCATCATCATCATCATCATCATCATCATCATCATCATCATCATCATCATCATCACCATCACCATCATCGTCATCATCAGCAGCAGCAGCACTATCGTCATCGTCATCATCATCATCCTCGTCGGCATCATCATCACCATCAGCAGCAGCATCACAATCAGCATCGCCATCATCATCACCATCATCATTGCCAGAATCACAATCAGCATCAAAAACGTCATCATGATCGTCACCATCATCATCCTCATGATAGAAATCATCATCATCAGCAGCATCAGCATCATCATCAGCATCATCGTCATAGTGGTCACCGTCGTCATCATAACCATCACTATCGCCATCAAAATCACCCTCATCACCCTTGCCAGCATCAAATCAGCATCAGCATCACCATCATAATAATCATCAGCATCATCACCATCGTCATCTCCATCATGATCATCAGCATCATCGTCATCAGCCCCGGCATCAACGTTTCAGCATCAGCATCACCATCATCAGCAGCATAATCATCCTCATAATCATCATCAGCATCATCATCAGCATCACCATCACCATCGCCATCATAGTCACCATCATCATCGTCATCATCATTAGTGCCAGCATCATCGTCACCAACAACATTATCATCATCATCATCATCATCATCATCATCATCATCATCATCATCCTCAGCAACATCATCATCACCGTCATCAGCATCACCATCACCATCGCCATCGTCATCACAATCATCATCCTTGCCAGCACTATCACAATCAGCACATCATTATCATCAGCAGCATCATCATGGTCCTCTTCAGCACCAGCATCATAATCATCATCATCATCATCAGCATCATCAGAAACAGCAACAGCAACAGCATCACCATCATCATCATCATCATCGTCATCCTGGTCATCATCACCATGAACATCGTCAGCATCATCATCATCATCATCAGCATCAGCATCACCAGCATCACCATGACCATCGCCATCATCATCACCACCATCATCATTCCCAGCATCATCATCTTCAACAACATCAGCATCAGCATCATCATCCTCATCAGCATCATCAGCATCATCCTCATGATCATCATCCACATCATCATCATCGTCAACATCAGTTCCATCATCACCATCACCATCGCAATCATCATCACCATCATCATCCTTGCCAGCACTATCATGATTTTCAGCAGCCACATCATCATCATCATCAGGGTCATCATCAGAATCATCACCATCGTCATCATCATCATCAGCATCAGCACCAGCATCAGCATCAACATCAACATCACCATCATCACCAACATCATCAACAGCATAAACAGCATCATAAGCATCATCAGCAGCGTGAGAATCCTCATTAACAACAGCCTTAGCATCAGCATCGTCAGCATCATTCTCGCCATCACCGTTACCATCATCACTAGCAGCATCATCATCATCATCATCAGCAGCAGCATCACCATCACCATCGCCATCGTCATCATCATCATCATCATCATCATCATCATCATCATCATCAATGCCAGCATCATCACTATCATCATCATCATCAACATCATCATCATGATCGCCCCCTCAGCCGCAACACCATAAGCTTCATCATGATCATCAGAATCATCAGCATCATCATCATGATTATCATCATCATCATGTACATCAACATCATCGTCAGCATCAGCAGTACCATCACCATCGCCATCGTCACGTTCATCATTCTTGCTCGAATCAACATCAGCATCAGCATCAGCATCATCATCAGCACAAGCATCATCATCATCATCATCATCATCATCATCATCAGCCATCATCATTAGCATCAGCATTAGCATCATCCTCAGCTTCAGCATCATCATCGTCTTCGTCAACATCCGCAGCAGCATCATCATCATCAACACCATCATCGTCATCATCATCATCATCATCATCACCAGCATCGTCATCATCATCAGCAGCAGCACCACCATCACCATCGCCAACATCATTACCATCATCATCCTTGTCAGCATCACCATCACAATCATAAACATCATACTCATCATCATCATCATCATCATGGTCATCATCAGCATCACCAGCAGCAGCAGCATCGTCGTCGTCGTGATGATCACCACCATCAACATCGCCACCCTCATCACCATCATCATCCTTAACATCATCATCAGCAGCATCAGCATCAGCATCATCATCGTGGTCAGCATCATCATCATCATCATCATCATCATCATCATCCTCATCATCATCATCATCATCATCATCATTAGCAGCACCATCACCAGCATGAACAACATCATCATGATCATCTTTGCCAGTAGCAGCATCACCATCTTCATCCTTGCCAGTAGCATCATCCGCATCATCATCATCATCAGCATCATCAGAATCCTTGCCAGTAGCATCATCAACATCATCATCCGCTGCCAGGAGCATTATCATCCGTGCCAGTAGTATCACCATCACCAGCAGCATCACCATCACCATCAGCGTCAGCATCAGCATCCTCATCCTCATCCTCATCCTCATCATCATCATCCTCATCCTCGCCATCATCATCCCCGCCAATAGCATCATCACCAACATCATCCTCGCCAATAGCATCATCATCAGCATCACCATCAGCATCATCAGCATCATTATCATCATCATCCTCATTATCATCATCATCCTCATCATCAGCATCATCATCCTTACCAGTAGCATCATCACCATCATCAGCCTTGCCAGTAGCATCATCCTTGCCAGTAGCATCGTCATCAGCATCAGCATCAGCATCAGCATCAGGCATCATCATCATCATCAGCATCATCATAATCCTTGCCCGCAGCATCGTCACCATCATCATCCTGCCAGTAGCATCATCCTCATTATCAACATCAGCATGGACGTCCTCATCAGCAGCAGCATCAGCATCAGTATCCTCAACATCCTCATCATCATCATCATCATCATCATCATCATCATAATCATCATAATCATCAGCAGCAGTGTCATCCTTGCCAGTAGCATCGTCATCATCATCATGATGATTGCCATTAGCCCAATCGGCAGCATCAGCATCATCATCATCATCATCATCATCATCATCATCATCATCATCATCATCATCATCATCATCATCATCATCATCATGCTAATCACCACTATCATCCTCATCCTCATCATCAGCATCTTCATCATCATCAGCATCAGCATCATCGTCATAATCATCATCATCACCATCACCATCACCAACGTCACCACCACCATCACCATCACCATCACCATCACCATCACCATCAGCATCAGCATCATCATCATCCCCATCCTCCCTTGCGAACTGCGGTCCTCCTCGCCTGCGGCGAGCCACCTGACGTGGGCCACGGACAGCCGCGGGTCTTTCGTGGCCGCATTGCCTGTACGCACTGGGAGCGACGAGGAAAGGGCGGAGCGGGGTGCGACGAAGAAGAAGGACGAGGACGAGGAAAGGGAGGACGAGGAGAGAGGACGAGGACGACAACGACGACGACAACGACGACGACGACGACGACGACGACGACGACGACGACGACGACGCGACGACGGCGGCGCTGGCTAACAGCATCGCTTACTCCCGCACCCGGCGGGCGGGCCATGCTTCGTCCCTCCTCCTCCTCCTCCTCCTCCTCCTCCTCCTCCTCCTCTTCCTCCTCCTCCTCCTCCTCCTACTCCTCCTGCTCCTGCATCGTCTCTCTTCCCCACTAGTCCTCGTCCTTCTCCTCCACCTCCTCCTCCTCCCCCGCCTCCGCCCACTCTCCCTCCCCTCGGGGGGGAGGAGGGGTTTTCCTCGAGAAGGGAGCACGACGACAACGACGACAGCGCGGCGCACCAAAATATTCGGTGATCACCAGCTGCCCAGGCACTGTCACCACGTCCACGGGCGGGGTCACCACGGGCATCGGGGCGGCGGGCTGCGGCTTCCCCCCCGCGGCCAGGCGAGGCGGGCACCAGATCTCCGAATCCCCCCAGGAGGGGGGAGGGAAGGGTAGGGGGCCACATGCGAACCCTACCCCTACCCCCCCACGATGTCTGAGGTGGAGGGGGGAGGGAAGGGTAGGAGGCCACATGCGAACCCTACCCCTACCCCCCACGATTTCTGAGGGGGAGGGTGGGGTTCACCTCGTTCGGGAGCTCCCGAACGAAGTGAACCCCCCCCCCTCCCCCTCAGAATCGTGGAAAGTCAGGGGTACGGGTTTGCATCTGGCTCCTAGGGGGGGGTGGGGCGGGGGGGGGGAGGGGGGAGAGGCGGGGGGGGCAGGGCGGGAGCGGGGGCACGGGGGAGGGCTTCCGGGCAGCGGAGCCCGAGGCGGTCGGTGGTGAGCTGTTCCCCCGAGGCCCCCGAGGCCCCTCCCCTCCCCAAGCCCACAGGCCCCACGAGCTCCGCTCCACGACGCCCCCAGACTTGCAGGGAGGAGAGAGGGAGAGGAGGAAGAAAGGAAGCATTTTCACATATGTGCACTGTTATGAAGTTGCAAAGTACATCATTCAAACGTGTGCGCCCCCAGCACTCACAACCACCACCGCGACCTCGGGCCCCAACCCCCACGCCCCACAAGCCCACAGAGGCGCAACTCCCGCCGCAACCCCCAGAAGAATCGAAACAGAACACGAGGACTTAGGCCCCACGAGCACCGCAAGCCCCATAACCCCACAACCCCACCACCCTGCACCCCGCACAACCGCCACAGGGCCCTCAAACCACCACAGACCCAATAACCACCGCAAGCCCCCAGGCCCCAAAAGCACCACAACCCCTACAAGACCCATAAACCCCACGACCCCCACATCCACTACGGGCCCCAGAACCCTAATAACAGCACCAGCACCCAGAGATCCCGCAAGCCCCGTAGATCCCACAATCACATCCCACAACGCCCACGACCTCACAACACCCACAACCTCAACAACCTCCACAACCTCAAAAAAAACAACGATCCCGACAGATCCCACAAGCTCCAGAACCTCCATGTAGGCTCCAAACCCACACGAGCCCCACGAGCCCCACAACCCCCACAGCCTCCGCAACCAGCAACCCCCACAACCTCCTTACGCCCCAGAAGGCGCATCCTCGGGGCTCTGGAGGTTTTGAGTGGATCGCGGGGGTTATGCGGGGGGGTGGGCTTGTTGGTGTTCGCTCTGTGGGGTTGTGGGGGGAGGGTAAGTTGGGTGTGCGGGTGTGGCGGCGTGGAGGGGTAGGGAGTGGGGGGTAGGGGTTGTGGGGGGTGTGGGGTGGGGGGAGGGGGTGCAGTGTGGGGGGTGTAGTGGAGGGGGGGGTAGTGGGTGTAAGGGTGCCCTCGCCTCTTTCTCTACCTCATCTGTCTCTTCTATGCCTTCCTCATCCCATACCATCCCTCCTCCTTCCTCCCCCTCACCCTCCAGCTCCTGTTCGTCCCATTCCTCCTCCTCATCCTCCTCCTCCTCCTCCTC